GAAAATTTTTTAGAATTCGACAAAATTTTTCGACGAACTTTGAAGTTTCCAATGAGTTTTTCAGCCAGATTTGAAGATTTTGGCAGCTTTTTTTTAGATTTCAATAGAAATTCAATTGAAATATGGGATTGTTTACAGAGAAGGATGAGAAAAGAGGGAAAGGAGAGTGAAAGGGCAGGAGACAATCTACGAAAAATAGAGGTGGGAGTCTTTTATACCCTGCTAAAACGACGTCGTTTTTGCGTTAGTAAAACCCAGAGGATCCGCGCATTTTGCCAAGATCCGACCCGACCCGTAGCACACCCGAACTAGCGACCTGCTTCTTCGCCTAGGTTCCAGCCGAACTGAGCCAAGACTCCAAGCCGTGCATTTGAGCCGTGATTTCTGTCTTGAGCTGAACCGTTTCCCAGCCTGAGCCGAGTTGTTTTCGAATTTTTTTGGTATTTTCTTATTTATTTTATTTAAGTATTTTTTATTTGTTTTTTTTTAATTATTAAATTAAAATAAAGTAAAAATAAAAATTTTGGGAATGAATATTAATTATCCAATGATGGAATTCATAAAAATTTCAAATGATAAATTTTTATAAAATTTTTAAGTGAGAAATTTTATCTAAATTTGTCTCAAATGGTAGAATAATATAGATAAAATTTTAATAACAATAATTAATATTTATTTTCAAACAAAAAAAATTAAAAACATAAAAATATAAAAATTTTGAAATTAAATACAAATCACCCAATGATGAGATTCTTAGAAATTTCAAATGGTAAATTTTTAAAAAATCTCTATGTGAGAAATTTTCTCTAAATTTGGCCCAAATGGTGAAATGATTTAGATGAAATTTCAAAACAAGTAATTGTATTCTTTTCCAAATAAAAATTTGGATTGAAAATATTTGATAATTATCTAAAGATGAGATTCTTAAAAATTTCAAATGGTAAATTTTTAAGAAATCTCTAGGTGAGAAATTTTCTTTAAATTTGACCCAAATTGTGAAATAATTTAGATGAAATTTCAATAAAAATAATTATTATATTATTTTCTTTCCAAGGAAAAAAGAGAAAAAGAGAATTTCTAAATAGACCCAAATGGAGAAAATTTTAAAAATTTAAAAGAAAAAATATTTTTAATTTGGCTCAAATTGTGGAATAATTAGATTTATTTTCAACAAAAACGGTAATAATAAAAAATAATAAATAATTTTTTTTTCAACGATGGAGCCTTTTCAAGATACTCAAATTGGATTCTTGAATACTCTTGAGGTGAAAAAATATTTTTTTAAGAGATCTACCAGATTAATGGAAGAATCTTATGAATTATTTCCAATATTTGATGTTAAAATTTGAAACCATTAGACTCAAGACCTTAGGATAAATTCAAAATAATATGGTACCATCATTTGGATGAACATGTGGAAGTGCTATAACCTTCCTCACAAGTAACCGACTCTCGAACCTTGTTCTGATTAGTAAACCTGAACATATTCTTTTAGGAACCCTTAGTCAAGCTTAGGAGTTTCCTAAGATGATAGATTCTTTAGGTGGCCAATCACACATAGTAAAAAAGATTGGTGACGATTCCATTCATTTGTTAAATCTAAATATAGATTTTCGAATCTATATGTTATAACAGGTGATTTAAGCTAAACTAATCTCCCAGCTGGTGATGTCAAATGCTATGGCTACACCAATTGTTCCCTAACCCAACATATTGATGAAAAGCCAAAGAATTCCAATATGGAGAATCAAAGCCAAAAACCCAATCCCAGCCAGTGCGTTAACCTTACTTTGAGCTTGAAGGAACTTTATAATAAGAAAGGTAATCGCAAATGAAAATAGCTGTGGGATGGTAAATATAATGAACTTTCTAGCTAGGTTAGCGATCTCTTCTTCTTGCCTAAGAAAAAAGTTGAATACCAATAATATGTGTGATAGTTCCATCATCATCATGTATGGGAGCAAGTTTTAATCTGTCCACCAATGGAATGCCGTCATTCCTGAAATTCAAAAGCTCACTTTGGAATTCAATACCTTCCTCAAGACATTTTCAAATCTCAAAAACAATAAAAGAATTTAACAAAAAATGCCATCTTTGAGCACGTTGGTCTCTATACTATAAAAATCAACTAAAAAACAAAATAAGAACTCATAAAGGGTCAATCTAATCCTTTCAAACAAGAGATCATTAAGAGATGAAAAACCATCATAGCTAAGGAAGCATAAATGAAGGTACATTACTTTAGGGCATTATTGAATATGAATATTTAAAAGCAAAAAAACACAAAGATAATTTTAAAGTCCCAAAAGCTAACTTCTATTACATAATTGTGGATAATGGCCAAGAAAATGCTCATAACATGGAAATAAATTAACCTTTACAGGAATTTTTATTCATACAATACACCAACCAAATCTAGAAAAAAAATGTGAAAAATTTTCCAATCCATGTTACTCTTTTTTAGGAAGAATGCTTGAATATGACAAATTCTTTTAAGACATTGAAAATTAAAACTATCAAAAGCTGGATGCCTCACTCACCATAAATTTCACAATTCCTTTTCAATCTAATAAAGAGGAAAGAGTTAATTATGCAAGAAGCTTACACCTTTTGTAGGTTCATTTTACCAAAAAATATTGGTTTAGTATTTACTATACTTATTTACTTTTCTTAAATTTTAAGTCCTAATTTTCTTCTGTTTTTATATTTATTCTTTTTTTTCATTCTTAACCTGCTACATCTAATTAAATGAAATAATCAAAAGTAAACTCCAAATTTTCTATCAATGAAAGAAAAAAACTCGTTATGCAATACAAGTCATCAGCAACAATGTAGCTTATTTATCTCTCTCTCCATATGATAAAGCTAACACCAGTTTTATCAGCTACTCAAGTGCATAACTTTTTGGCACAAATTGCAAACAAGTAAATTCCTAATTGGTTATCTTAAACAGATTTTCTTAACAAAATCATATGCATCATCAATGCTAGTAATCAAGATTGGTAGCTTTGATCTAACAACATTTAATACCTGAACATGCTTTACAGCAACTATGTAAACATAACACATAGTAAATTAAAGATTAAAACTTGGCCTAATGAAAACATAAGCTCAAATACAATAATATAGCTCTATTGAATCGATTTTTATTTTCTAATTAACAGACTCACTAGGTTAAGACTGGACAACACCATCAACAGTGACAACATACCCAAATGACACAATCAACAATGATCACCCAAAAAAAACATAAAATGAAAAAAAATAGTAAAATTTTAAGAATTTTTTTATGCTTTTTAGGAAACAAAAAAAGGGGTGTTCCAAAGATATGTGTTTTAAACACATTCTCATGCTTGGAAAGAGACTAAAGAATTAAAATAATAACATTTCCCTCCATAAGTCAGTGTCAAAATCTACGTCGATTAGGATGCATGACCCAATCTAGCCATCAAGACTAATCTTTTGATCTTCTTCTTAAGCAGTCTCGATCTTTTGAAACAAAAAACCCGTTTCAATCCACCACCATTTGTTGGAAATACTTTCATAATCCAAATATAAAACATCAAAATAATTTTCCAAATATAACAAAATCAAAGCCAAAACTTATTTTTCTTACCTTTTTCACTTTGATATTCTTTTCTTTCAGTTCCCTTTAAACATCAATCAATGAAGAGATACTTAACCTCTACAGCCGAGCTCGCCCCTTCTTCTTTCCTTCCGTCTTACACAACCCTTCATTTCTTCTAGCTTTTTTTTTCCCATAATGATTTGTCTTGAAAAGCTTTTGAAATAACATGAAAATAAAACAGAACAGATCCAGAAGCTTTTGAAATTGTTTGATTCCAAAATTAACCTTCTAATTACTTTTAAATACATTGCTGATGTAGACAATCCAAACTTAATAGGGGACTACTTAAAAATAATGTAATAGATTATATCTATTTATAATTTTGGTTGTTAAAAAATAAAAAATGCAATATTAAAACTTTAAATATTTGTTAAATTTATATGCCTTACTTTGGTTGAGATTAAAAATAGCTATTTTAAAATTTTAATACATCGAGTTTGTGACAAGCGATACATCAATTCATTGTTAATCCCACAAACTTGAAATTATTATGGAATTTTGAAGTGATTTAATTAAAATCACAAAATTTTAACTCATAATAATGAATAAATTTTGTTTTTAAATATTTTAATTGGATGAGATATGAATTTTTCAATTTATTGAATCTGTTTATTAATTTCTTATTGAATGTAAAAATAATATCATATTTTTTTAGTAATGCTTCATTGGTTTATAATTTATACTTAGCATAAAAATATCATTCTTAAGATCATTTTTTTTAAATTAAAAGAAAAATCACATCACAACACCTAGAGAACTATAATGAAATTATAGTTAGAATTTAATGTCAACAAAAATTTCAAAATCCAAATTCCATATGCTAAATGTAATTAAAGTTTCATTTGAGAGTCTAGTTAAAGTTTCAATTATAAAACGTATCTTTTGGTGCAATTGAACCATTCCACTGAACTCCAATATGGAGTTTATAAGAGAGAAAAACCTACAAAAAGTTTCTTAGGTGAAGTTTATAAAATTTTTTATTAAAAATAAGTAAAAAAAATTAAAATTAAAAATTAAAACTAATATATTGAAAAATCTCATTACATAAATCAAGCATGCAAAATTTAATAAATTTTTAATAAATTTTGATATATTTATTAAATATACATTTTTAGTAAAAATATTGACAAAAATTTTACCATTAAATAAGTATTAATCAAATTTGAATTATAAATAATATTTTTAATAAAATTTTTTATATATTATTGATTTTCATATTAAACTCTATTAATCCGATTTAAATTTTTTATTAAAATTTTATTTACTCATTTCTAATAAAAAATTTCATAAATTTCATTTATGAAACTTCATGCAAGTTTTATGTCTATAAGAACTTGTTTTTTAACAGAATTGTATATCAAATCAAAATAAATAAATAAATATTTTTAATTGTAAATTCAGTACAACATATATTCTAATTACTTACTATACCGTCCTTCCCAATTACAATATGAATTTTCTCATCTATCAATGATCACTATGAATATTGAGATGATAAAAAAACCAACAGTTTTACAATCATGCATGCGAAATGATCATTTTATTTAGAATTAATTGTTCTAATTCAAGAAATAATATTATTCTACATTAATTTACGAGTATTTTACGAATATATAAAACAATATATGTCTATGCTACTTGTTGATTTTAAAAAGATGTAGCATAGATTTGCATCTGGCTCAAGATATGCTCAAAGTTGTCATTAGATTTCTGAATCGGATGTGAATGCATGCCTTCGTAAGTTGTCACCACGACTCCTTCATCCTTGGTTAACCTTTGAACCTGTTTCTTCACGCTGCATCCTTGGTGTGTACATCGATAGTAACTTCTGCAAAACAATAAACAAAATTGTAATTAAAAGCTTTAATTGTCTTATAATTAAAGGTACTTATATATGTTTTATATGCTTTCACCATTATTCCTCAAGTTTTGGTTACTTCAAATGAAGCTAATAGAAGCCAGTAAATCATATGGTATGTGTTTAGAATGTTGGAATTTTAGTTTTATGAATCATATTCAATCATTGATAACGTTAAATACCATAAAAATTTAGTAAAAAAAGAAAGAAATGTGAAATTTTTAACTATGATAGGTCATAATTTATAAAATTCTAACCATCATGACATCTACTCATGATCATGCATGGTTGTCCAAGTCAGATCATACCTGTGGTATAGTTTGACAATAGCAAAGCGTTTAAACTATATATACTTAAGAGCAAACCATATAGATATAGTATGTATAATTTGTTTAGTATTGTCGTTAGGAAAAAGAGCCTGTTAATAATTTATTTATTTTTAAAAGAATTAAATGTTAATTTCCTTATTTTATAATTAAAACATTTGTGAAATATTTATATATGTATATATTATAGGATTTATATTTGATACACTGTCAGCGACTAAATATATAAATTTTATATATTATCAGTAAATAAAATGATACAATCTCATTAATAAAATGAATCAGATGATATTATCTTATTAATGAATAAGTTTTTTAAAAAAATATTAACTTTTGTATATTTATTTTAAGGGTTGATATTTGCTTATTAATGAAGTATCTTCATCTAATTTACCGAAAGTGTATCGAATTTATACATTAATAGTGTATCAAATATAAATTTTATATTATAATGAAGGTAAAAGAGTTTTCAACTGAAACAAGTACATAAAGAAGTAAGATGGAAGAAAACAACATGCAAGTTCATTTATATGTGAAATAAACATGCATCAATCACCATAAGCACCTCATCAGTTCTTACCTCCGTTATGGCTAGAGGAGAGAAAAAAATAAAAAATCGATTTAAAATTATAGCATTCAATTCAATTTGAATCTGTTTTTTTCTTATTCTATCTGTATCAAGTTCGGATTGGATTTAAGATTAAGAGGTAAAAAACCAAAAAAAAAAAAAAAGAACCAAACTGAACTATATTTTTTTTTTAATTTTTATATATCTTTTAAATTTTTATAAAATAAAAACAATAATTTTATATTAAAATCTACTTAAATATATTAAAATTTTATATTAAAATAATATATAAAAATAAAAAAATAAATTTTAAAAATTTATAAATCAAATTAAACTAAATTGATAAAATTCGATTTGATTAGATCGAATGAAAATTCGAATTCGAATCAAATTTTAAAATTTTTAATATTAAATAATATTAAAAAAAATCAAATCAAATCATATGCAAATTGTTATCGGCCCTAAACATTGCAATCATTTAATGCACTACTATTTTAAGTTCCTAACTTTCCCCACTCCAGTTTGTTGTTCTAAAGCTAAACATTGATCTCATGGATTGAGAAAATTTTTTTTAGTAGGCAAAACTCAAAAGGAATACCAAGTTACAAGGAGACCAGCCCCATCTAACACCCACGCCTTTCAGTTTTGGTCTTGGGCTGCGAACTTTCCACTTAATTTTTTGTAGTACATAAGCTGATGAGTAATTAGCAATCAAGTTAATGCTGGGTTTGGACTGATTCAAAAGTTAGATAAATTGGTATAGACAAAGTTGGTGGGGCATCAAATCACATATCAATCACAAGAACGAAGTTTTATTTGTTCTTCCTACCCATTAATATTGTCTAATTTCGGATATGAAAAAGTATCAACAGAAGTTAAATTTTAAATTCTAAAACAATTGGATAATATTTTTTAAAAATAATTATATGGATCAAATGAATTAATCTTTGCTTAATATTGTCTTGTTAGAGGGCAAAGGAAGGAGGAAACCAAGATGATCTGAAAGATCTATCAGGGCGTGATTCATACACTAATAACAGTGATGACAGACACTTTAGCTAACAAGTAATCCTAAGTAATGAGCTGATTAATTTATCCTTTCTAATTTTTTTTTAAAAAAAAGGATCAGTTGACTAAGAGACGAATAATCTACTTTTTCCATATTGTTAAGAGACATTTGCAAAATGATTAAGAATTCGTGTTGCAGTTTTGCATCTTTTTGTCATGAATTTGCATTTCGTACTGCGATCAATGAATTTGTTCTTCATTTTTCAAGCAACAGGAAAAAATATATACATCTTCAGCAAGGGGAGCTTTGCATACCTTGGAAATTTGTTATTCTTAACAGCTTTCTGGCCATATTTTCTCCATCTATAGCCATCATCAAGTATATCAACTTGGCTTCTTGTTTGAAAAGCATATCTGGGCTTTCTAATCTTTTTGTCCCCATTTTTCTTACCTGATTTCACTTCACTTTCATTCCCGGCCAAGCTGTTGCTCTCAGGAAAGCTTTTGTTCTGAGAAATGTCGTGCACATTCAAGCTGTCAGGAACTTCCATCTCTACCATCAATCCCGGTACCCCATTAACCTTGCCACCTTGGAATTCACCATAACCCAGCGAACTCGGCGTGTTTAATGACAAGGAAGACGCTGGCAATGTCGATGAACTAGGGAAAAATCCCTCAAAAATCTTCATGTTAAGGACTGAGACAAAGAAACAGAGAGAAAGCAAAAGAGACGCAGAGAGATGATTCAGCAATTATATATATGTACTACACAGTATAAAAAGAAAAAGAAAAGAAAAAGAAGAAGAAGAAGAAGAACAACAACAACAACAACAACTTGAGTGCTATAAATGGTCCCAAAGGTCAGAGAGAATGCAAGAGGTAAACTTAAAACAGGAAGGCGACCCGATGGCTAGCTATAGCAGTCATCTCCCTTATGCTAGTATCGTGAACGGCACGTAAACTATATATAAATCTGTAGTGTTAGTAAAGGTTAAAGAAGCTGGTAAAACAAAGACGCTGGTATTATTTTTGTTGAATCGAGTGGGAAAGTAACGGTGGCATTGGCTAACGATTTTGCTGTAACTGATCATTTTGAATACAATATAATAATATTATTCGAAAGCAATATAATAATATAAAATAAAATTTTAATAAAAATATAATTAAATATATAAATTTAAATTATGATATAATAATTTTATATTTTATTTATATTTAATGTAAATATACGTGATATAAATATATAAATTATTAATATTATATTACGATAAAATCTAATACTTACTATATTTTGATTATACATCTTAGTTGATTAAGAAAACTTCAATTCCGTACATGTTACTTTGAGAATTTTATTTATTGTTAATAGGTAATTTACATGTAAAAGGCATATTTTTGAGATATGCTCGTTTAGTTGATCTTCTAGTAGTAGTAAATTTGGGTAGGTGAGTGGAGTCAACATTTTATTGGTCAGCATATGCGTTCTCTACTTTTATCAAATTATTTTTCTTTTTTTTTTTTTAAGACAAAAGTGTAAATAGATAAATTGCTCAATATTCTTAAAAATTGAATAAAAATATCTATGTTTCACATTGACATTTATTAAAAAAAAATATTGATATTTGAATTCAAAATTATTTACGACCAATGAACTTATTAATTAAGGGAGCTAACCCCTTTTTTACTCTTCACACTTCATTTTTTTAAAATTTTATAAATAAAATTATTTAATTTGATATCCATATCCAATAAATTATATAGCTTATTGAATATTCATTTCTCATAAGCTTTTAAACATTTTAAGAAAAATTATTAAAATTTTTTATTAATTAATGTAATAAAAAGTTATTATTAAATTTAAATTTACTATTTATTCTTAGTTTAATTAGAGTCTCATAAGATTTTGTTATTTTTTAATATCAAAATAATAAAATTAATTTTCTTTTTATTAATTTTAAAATTTATTATTTTCTTTTCAATAATTTTTCATTATATCAATTACTAAAAATTTCAAGTAAAATTTTTTTTTTGTAATTTCTTTAAAGTTTAATCTCCATAAATTTATTTCTTAAAATTTTAAATATTTTCTTGTAAATTATATAACTTATTAGATATTAATATCCAAAAACCTATAAAAAACTAATAAATAATTTTACTTAAAGAGAAATTTTAAAATATATACATATATATATATATATAAAGAGTAAAAACGGGAGTGCATTTACAAACTCCCCTTAATTAATTCGTAACCCTTTGTTGGCTAGTACTCTGAATATCAGTTGTTTTTTTTTTTTTTAATGTCATAATTTTACCGACAGGAGGTTTGTTTCCACAGCAGACAATTGTGCCATACAAGCCCATAATTCCCTTCTCTCTTTCCAGTAGTGATAGGTTAAGATTTTTTTCGGAATATTTACTTATAAAATACATATAAATATAAATTTTTTTTTGCCTAAAATTCTTCGTATTCAAAAATCATTTTGAATCTAAATGGTTTTAAAGTTCAATCGGATTAAATTTTATTAAAAAAAAAAATTTTTTTAAATTTATTTTTTTATTTATAATATTTAAAATTCAAATTTTTTTATTATTCGAACTAATAAGTATTGATAATATAAATATATATAATTATGGATGAATTTATCTATTATTGACAGAAATATCTATGGGAAAATTTCGAGGATATTGACAAAAAAATTTTAAAATGTTCATGAAAAAATTTTAAAATATTTTTTAAAAATTTTTTATTTTTATTTTTAAAAATATTCATAAACACCCTAATTTTAAAGATAGATTTACACAAAACTCCACCTTATTTAATTGGAAAACAATCGAGCAAGAAAATAAAAGGAAAAGAACTACTTGAGGAGAAAACAAAATCCCCCGCAGTCCACTTATTATTATAAGGAGTAATGGACCAATTAAAATTTTTTTTTATTTAATGTCAATGAAATTAACAAGTGATAATATATAAAGTAATAATTTTTAATAATTTATTAAATTATTATCTTAGGTGAAATTTCACACTTAAAGCTATTATTAGGTATATATATTACCAATCGATGAACTTCATCATTTCGCTGCCTTTGGAGTCATGATGAGTGCCAGATTGCTGGGATTCAATGGATGTGGACAGTCAGAAATGCTGCAACTGTTGCTTGTCTATGCTCTTTTGACTTAAACGGCCAAAAAGGTTAAGAAAAAACAAAGGGATGAGTTCATATCATGCGTAAGCAAATATCATACGTAAGCCAATATGCAATATTAACAAGAGGAAATTAATATTTTATGTGTCAATTTGTAGATA